AGCTTGTGTCGTACGTGGCCCGAACTACGTTTGCTCTGATCTTTCATGCCGTGTGAAAGTACGTAGGCATAGGATGCGATATCCTAGCGAGCAACCTTCCCCTCCTTTCCCGTAGGTAGGCGAACTACGTTGACTCTGATTTCTCGTTCCAGACGGGAATACGTAGGCATAAAGTGCGATACTTTGCCGAGTCATTTTTATTTTCATTTTATTTTCTTTTTCACCCCAGACCTTTAGCGTAGATAGAATAACAATCCATACCCGAAAACAAGCGTGGATCCCGTCGAGTACGACGGACGTGAGGGGTGCTAATACCTTCCCCTTGCGTAACCGACTCCCGAATCCAGGTTTTGGTTGCGACGACCATACCTTTCCCGTGTTGTGCGAGGTTTACTCTGAGCGTTTCCTTTCCCTCCCGTGGGATAAATAACGCACGGTGGCGACTCTTCTGTTCAGCCGGCGCCGATTTTCGCAGTAGCGCCAAGTACAAGCTAACATTCCCACTCCCTTAATTTCACCTCTAGCACCACCACCAAATGTGACAAAATTGATAGGATAAGACTTGATATCTACTAAATAGTTCTCAATGCTTGTCATATTTCTATAGCTTCCACTGTTAAAGTACCAGTCCTCTCTAGATGAGGTTCTAAAAGAGGTATGGGCTATGAGACTAGTGACAACATCCTTAGCTTCCACTCCTTTCTAGTTTTAATCCATACATGATTAGCCCTAGGTTGAGGTGAATATTTTGGATAGCCATAAAATTTGTAGCATAATGGCTTTATGTGACTAGATTTACCATAATAATGACATTTTCAAGGTTGGAACTTGCCTCTGGTCTAAGTTTTCTGAAGTATGGCAGGATGTTGTAACATTTGATCAAACATTATGAGCTCACCCTTTACTTCAGCGGGAACAAAATTTGTCACAAGGATTTTTATTTGATTATTTAAAGACTCGTAATTAAACCATATACTAGTAAATATTTTACCTTTTTTTCACACTTGAAAAATCTCATCTAACACATCAGATCCATTGTTCAACATCCTTATTGATTTGGTCATATTTTCAAGCTTTGAGGCCAATATGACTACTTCACCTTGAAGTTTAGAGAAGGTAGATAGAAGCTTCTCCTTTTCATCCTGAAGTTGAGCTATAAGCCCCTTATGCCCTTCTCCTAACTTACACACTCATTCACTTTTGATACAAAGTTCCTTGTAGGAAACAACTATTTCTTCACAAGTGATTTCTTCATCCTAAGAGTCTTCATCAGAATCACATATACTAGTGAATGTTGTACTTGCTTAGGAGTTTCATCATCAGTTTCACCTTCAGACTCATCGGTCTAGGAAGCAGTCAAACCCTTCTTTTGTTTATTGAGGAATGTTGGACATTCTGGTCTAATGTGACCAAAACCCTCACATTCGTGACACTTAATGCTTCTATCTTGATTCAGCTTCTCCTCTGTTCTTGCTTTTCTTTGAAGGTCACAGTTCTTGTTGATGTCAGGTGGGATGTTCTTGACATTTGGTCTTGACTTCGTATCCATACTTTTTAGCACCTTATTGAATTGTCTCCCAAGAAGCACAATAAAATTAGAGATTCCTTCATCAGTGTTCAAGTCATGATCCTCTTTATCATTGATGTTGGAAGTAAAAGCTATGTTCTTGTTCTTCTTTTCAGATCTATTACTAATAGCCAATTCAAAAGTTTGTAGTGACCCAACAAGTTCATCTACTCTCATATTATTAATGTCTTGGTTTCTTCAATGGTTGTTACCTTTATGTCAAATCTCTTAGGTAGAGACCTGAGAATTTTTCTAACCAGCTTCTCTTCAGTCAACTTTTCTCCCAAGGCTCTAAAAGAATTTTCTATTTCAAGAACATTCATGTGAAAGTCATGAATGCTTTCATCATCTTTCATCTTTAAATTTTCAAATATGGTAGTGAGTAGCTAAAATCTAGACATATTCACCTTAGATCTGACTTCATGAGTGGTTTTCAAAATTTGTCAAGCATCTTTGACCATAATACATGTGTTTATTAATTTGAACATGTTTTTTCCAACTCCATTGAATAGGGCATTCAAGCCTTTGGAGTTTCCAAGAGCAGTTTCATCTTCTTCTTTAGACCAGTTATCTTCTGGCTTCAAAGTCGCATTCCCATCTTTATTCTTAACAATAGAATGTTCCTAACCCTTGATGATACCTTTCCAGGTTTTGCTATACATATATTTTAGGAAAGCCACCATACGTGCCTTCCAATAGTCATAGTTGGTGTCATCTAAGACGGGGGTCAGTTAACATTTCCTCCTCCTTCCTTTTCCATAGTACCAGAAAGTATCTTCCATGGAGCTCACCCTAAACATAACAGGGTGCCTTCTCTGATAGCAATTAAAATTCTGGTAATCAGACACCAGATGTCAAGTAAGATATCACGACACTGGGATCAGGGTAGTAATATAACACAAATAATTATACAATTAAAGTAAATTGCTGGAAGTAAATAACACAGTTAATTATTAACCTAGTTCAGTGAAACATCACCTACATTTGGAGACATACAAGCCAAGAAGGAAATCCACTATAATAGTATTAGTTTGAAGCCCAAGTAAACAACCTATGGTTTACAATCTTCGCACCTAATCACTACCCGCGATGTTTCTATCTAAGACTTTTTTAGATATGAGACCCCTCTCACTTCTCTTTAATCGCACAACAGTGATAAAAACTTATAACAACGAACAATAAAAGACAGACTTTCAATGGCACATAATTCATTCTTGCTTAAAAGCTCATGAGTGATTCACAATTACAACTCAATAAACTCAGTCCACTTCAAGCATCTAAGTGATGCATGAATGACTCACAAATAAAACACACTCCAACTCTGATATCAAAGTGATATAAGAGTGGATCACAAATAACAAAGAACAACTAAAAAACTCTAATTCCATTAATCTCAAGCATAACTCTTACTTCTGTAAATTAGGTTTAGCACTGTCCTCTTTAAATAGCCTTTGGTAAGCATGAGCTTAGGCGTAAAACACACAACAAATCCAATCTGGACTGCTGCACTTATTCTGCAGAATCTTCTACATAAAATCAGGAACAAATCACATGTTTCCTAAAATGTCTCAACATTCCTTTTTATAAAACAAGTGCACATCTAGAACAAAACAGGAGTTCCTAAAATACCCTTCTTGGACTGCGTCAATATGTGAGCTAAAACCAAAAGGAATCTCACTTTTAAAAAACAAATATTCTAAGAACTTAAACCTAAAACCTTCACTGATGTCTAACCAACATATCACTACAGCGTGCTTAACATCTCTGCAATGATGTCTGACTAACATGTCAAGACATCTTGCTCAACATCTTACTGTGATACATATTTTAACAAAATTGTTGTCAATCTCAAAAACAAAGAACTAACACTAAAATAAATACATTATTATAAACCAAACATTAATGATGGTATTATACATTATTCAAGTTAATTCTACAATTTTAATGGTGCATATTTTTTCCTGTAAATTCTTGAAGTGAAAAAATACAAAATTAGATTTTTCTTTCTATAGAACTCATTTAATAATATTGAAGTATTTCTCTTTTTTCATGTATCTTTCTTAACCACAAGAACAACCCACAATCAAAGATTTAAAGTACTACATCCAACAGAAAAGGTCAACAAACAAGTGTTAGCATGCTCATGGAAACAACCACGTCTTTGAAAATTGACGGGTTCATTAATATGAGACTTACAATACCATATCAATAAACGGGTCAATTAGCTTATCAAAAAGATAACTACCTCTTCATTATAACCTCATTTCTAATACTTTTTTTGTCTCATTCATTTTACAACAATACTTTCTATAAAAACATCTCTACTAATATACATTTACTTATTATATTTCAACTAATTTAACTTTATTAATAACTATTAATAAAAATATTTTAATAAATAATTTTATTATTATTATTATTATTATTATTATTATTATTATTATTATTATTAAAATCAACATAACTAATTAATTTTAGAGGTATTCAAAATTTAAATATGAGACCTAAAATAAAGAAATAAGAGAATGGATGAGCATTGAGAAACTAAAGTGGTAGGAACACTAATTTTCTTTACTCATTTTGATGAAAAGGACTCACTCCAATATAAATTCTCATCTAAAGAAGTTGCTCACCGCACTTTCATGTTTTCTGAAAAGCTTGTTCACAGTAAAATGTAAGGTCAATTGTAACTCAAGTCAACAGACTCAATTTGCAATATAAAGTTAAAAAGAACAAAGAAACAAAAAAAATGTTTAAATTGATGCACAATATCATGTGACATAGGCATAGGCATAGGACATGCAAAGTATATTCCATGGTAGCAAATTTTGATAATTTGCAGGTAGCGGGAAATCATGTGACATAGGCATAGAACATGCAAAGTCTCACTTGTCATAAATTTTTGGTACAAAATCTTTCACAGGTTTTTCAAAGGAAAATGGGTTTACTGCAGTCACAAGTTCAGGTCGCGATACCGTCTAATCTCAACAGCCGAGAATCCAATTTCAATTCTGTGACGACACAGTCACACCAGTGTTTCAAACAGATCATTTTACTCTTATAACTAACTGCGTCACTAGAAATCTCAGAGATTTTAAAAAACAAAGATAGAGAGAGCGTGTAAATAAACCAATAACAGAAAATCTAATCAAAATGGAGCTCAAGAAGCAGTTGAATTAAAGTTATATCAGTAAGCAACCAAAGTGGTTGGAATGTGTATAACTTTTCCAATAAATCCAAATTCCATAAAGCTTGCTCAAAAGGCATAAAAAAACTATGTTTCCCTCGTATGGTCGTCCCGTGATTCTCCAATAGGATTTAACAGTTTCGTGTCAAATTTCAATTACCAGCCTTAACTGAGCATCCCTCTAATGAATGACCTTATGAATCATTCAATTAGTTCCAAAATTAAAGAAAACACCTGCATTCGGAGTCAGCCACTTTCTCTTCTGCAGTTACCAGGTAACAAGTATTTGTATCTATCTGCGTTGTTTAATAAATACGAAGGAAGATGCACTGCAGAATAAGAATGAGGAATCGGTCCAAGTTTTCCAATGATCTCCTTAAATGTATACTCTTCAGGAAGCATGTCAAATAAGTCAGCACCTTTGCATATCACATTCTGGATCCGTTCAGGGTTCAAGTAACGAGGGAACCTCACCCGATCGTAGTGGCTGTAAGCTTTCATCTTAAAAACAAACTCACTGATATGGCGGAAACAGAAGCTACAATGCCAGCCAGCATCCGATAGCAGTAGATCAGACTGTCTATAGTGTGCATACCTCGTCTTGTCGGCCTGGTATCTGTGGATTGACGCTCTCCAACTTTTGTTGTCAAGAAAAAACTCGAAAGAGTACAAGTAATTCCTCAGTTGAAGATGAAGAACCGGAGGGATTTCGTCGCACCATCTCAAGAGATTAACTGTGTGTGCACTAGGAATCTCATCAACATCAGACATTATCAAAAGATCATCATCTTCAATGCCTGCTATCCTCAGAAGCTGATCCAATGCAACTCTTTGATACGCCTCCTCAATGAACGGATTTTCCTTTTTCTTGAACCTCCCACCAATAACGCCATATGTCAGACGAGGCTCAACAAACTTGAACTTGTCCCTATTGCCTGCGTAAACCAACGGTTTGACGAATCCAGTAAACGTTGAGTTTGATTCAAGAAGCACATACTGTGAAACGTAAGGATACATTTCTTTCCATCGGATAGTAAGCATTTCAACTTCATTGCTAAACAAAACAGCGTCAAAGACACGCCTCGGTGATTCGCGAATTCCCCACCCATGAAGTTTACAAAGAGACTCCATTGACACATTCTCGTGATAATAGTGAGGGATTTCATGAAACGGCTTCGGCGGAGATTCCCACAGTGGTCTAAAAAAGTAACTGATTTTCTGGCCGTGCATATAGATTAAAAATACACCTACTGGGATGATAATAAACATGAACACGTAAGTCTTGAAGTCCAATCCTCGCAAAATACACCTCAGTCTCGACATGTTCAGTGCCGCAGGTGTTCCCTGCTGCATAGAAAATCATAAATCTCTAAGCCACCATATGACAACTTAATCATCAAAATTTCATTAAACCAACATCCTTGATTGTACAAAAATGACATCAAATTAAACCAAACCCACAAACCAACCTAATCCAAAATGCCAATCAGAATAGACAAAGATTAACAATAAAATTACATGAAAGAAAAAAGTTCAAGAAACCACATTCTCCATTATTTCATAACTTCAAATAAAAATACAAATGGAGAATAATCAAATAAAACAACCATTATTCACCAAAACGGCAAAAGCATAGGGGAAAAGAAACAAAATTTTGAAATAGAAAACCCTAATTATAATTCCAAATAGAAAACCTACAATTCAAACCTCGTAGGTTAAAAAACTTGAAAAACCACAATGGCCTATTCGTTAAAGGATAAACCCAGAACCTATCAAGAATCTGTAAATTCAAAACAACAATAGATAAATAATCAAACATCAATACACATAGATAAAGGGGGGAAATGAAGAAGAAGAGAATTTCCTTCTTAAATTCATTAAAAACAAAAAAAAACAAAAAAAAAAAAAAGAATTGAAATTATGACAAATTTGAATTGGATTCTGAAAAACAGAATAAACTTAACACAAACCCAGAAAAAAAAACAGAGAAAAACTCTGTTTTGCACTGAAAACAAAAGCCAACCACAGAAACACATAAACCTTACCAATATTTTTATAAACAAGAAAAAAAAAGCATTTTATTAGTAGAGTAGAGAATGAAATTATAAAAAAAAAATAATATATAAAAACTAAAAAAAAAAATAATAATACCTCTCCACAAACATCCTCGCAGATATCATCAGTCTTCTTCGAAATATAATACCCCTCAGACATAACGAAGAATAATCCAGAAAAAAAGGTTTATGTTTTTTATGTGTTTGGAAACACGAAAAGATGAAAGAAAAAAAAGAGTAAAAGTTTGGAATTGGGTGGCAACAGAAATTAAAAAACCTAAACCCAGTAACGATCGATGTTATGTTTGAGGCTTATAATGAGTTTTGGTTGGTATTGTGAAATGGAAATTGGAATGGTAAATGTGAATTGTAACGCCAATTATAGCCGTTTAGTGTGCGACGATACAATCGAATGAAACTATCTTCACGCTTCCGTAGGGATACTATAACTTCCTTCACTATTTTTTGGCCTAAATTCACTATCTATTACTTACTACAAACAATTATTATTTTTTCTAGATTAAAACAACATCATTAATCATTTTTTTCTTTAATCCGTTTAATAAACTTGGTTCGTATAAAGAAATTCAATAAAAACACTACTACTAATCTATTAAAGGGAGTGAATCTAGTATCTAATTTTACACTGTGGTTCAATAAAATTATAAAATTTTAGTATATCATTAAAATCATATATGTGATTCGATGAAATATAATTAGTTAAAAGTGTATGATTGATTGATCATGTATATTTTTTTCATAATAGTTTATGTAAAATTATTTTATATTTTTATCAGACAAACATGAACGTGATGTATTTTGTTAAATTACAAGATACTTTAATATTAGTAATATAAATATTTATTGAATGATTTGTAAACATATTTTATATTACTGAAGTCTATTAAACTCCAAAAATTTTGTTAAAAAATCATAATATATTATAAATAAAACTAATTGTTATACGTGTTTTAAAGATAGTTTATCGATTATATTAAATAATAATATATGTATAATTTATTAAAATTCTTATATTAGTTATATTATATTGTTATTTTAAAAACAGATGTGTGATTTGACCGGAGATATGTTTGAAAATGTGGTGGAACTGGAAAGTGAAGTGCATATTTTTTATTTATTTATAATAAATAAAATACAGTAAAAAAAATATAAGATAAAATTAAAGTAAAGAAATTGTTGGGCTTTAATTTAAGCTTGAATATATAAAAACATGTTGGACTTTTCTTTTCCCATGACTAATACACTAAAATCTATTAGAATATTATTAATAATTCATATTTATTTAGTTGTACTATTTTCTTAGCCCCTAAGTTTGTTAGAGGGTATTTTAGTATTTATCTTATTCCAGTAACCCTAGTTTTTAGCTTATAAATAGGGTGACAATCATTGTAACAAAATATCATGTTTTGTAGCCGTCATTCTCTTTAATAGAATATTTCCCTATTTCATCATTTATTCTATCTTTGCACCAACAATTGGTATCTAGAGCTCCGGTTCAGATTCATTGGGAAACACGGGAAACACGAGTGAACGTGAGGTCTTGTGTGTTTGATTTTGTTTCTCAGATTCTTGTTGAATCTTGAACAAAATCTAATCAGAATTTTTTTTAATTCTGTGGGTTGGGAAACACTGTGTGAGAAAACTCTGAGTGTATTGTGCAAAGTAGAAGATGAACGGAAACGGCAACATGAACACCAAACTTCCAGTATTTGATGGTAAAAACTGGAACCGTTGGATGATCCAAATGCGTGTACTGTTTGGTGCTCAAGATGTTCTGGATCTTGTCACTGATGGTTATGTTCCAGTAGCAGCAGATGCAACTGATGAACAGAAAAACGCGCAGAAGGAAGTAAGGAAGAAGGATCAGAAAGCATTGTTCTTCATTCATCAATGTGTGGATGTAAACGTGTTTGAGAAGATTGCAGACTCTACAACAGCAAAGGCTGCATGGGACACTCTGGTGAGATGTTATGGTGGTGACGCATCAGTGAAGAAGGTGAAGCTTCAGTCCTTGAGAAAGCAATATGAGAATCTCAACATGAAGAATAATGAGAAAGTTTCTGAATACATCTCCAGAGTGATTCTGATCACTAATGAGATGAAGGCATGTGGAGAAACTCTTTCTGAAGAAACAATCATGGAGAAAGTGTTGAGATCCCTTACTCCTCAATTTGATTACATTGTGGTAGCAATAGAACATTCCAAAGATCTGAGCACAATGAGAATTGAAGAGCTGCAGAGCAGTCTAGAAGCGCAAGAGTTGCGTCTGACTGAGAGAAACTCTGAAAAGGAAGTAGAACAGCAGGCTCTGAAAACAACTTCTGATAGGAGGTATCAGAAGCAGTCAGAAGTCAGGAGAAGATCTGATGGTGGTCAGAGGTCAGAAAGCTCAACCTCTGATAGACAAAAGAATGCTCAGAGGGGAAAAGAGAAGTATGACAAAAGAAAAATACAATGTTACTATTGTAAGAAGTTTGGCCATTTTGCTAGAGATTGTTGGTCAAACAAGGAGAAGAAATCAGAAGAAGCAAATATAGCCAGAGGCTCTGATGACGAATCTGTGCTGTTGATGGCCTCTGAATCTGATAATGTGGATCTGACAGACTGGTGGTATATGGACACTGGCTGTTCAAATCATCTTACTGGAAACAAGAAATGGCTGGTTGACTTTGATTCTGAAAAGAGAACAAAGATCAGATGTGCTGATGACAAATATCTTAATGCAGAAGGTATGGGAAATGTCAGAGTGACTCTGAACAATGGGAAAATAGCATTGATTCAGAATGTGTGGTATGTACCTGGCATCAGAAGCAATCTGATGAGTGTGGGGCAATTAATTGAGAAAGGTTTCTCAGTTACCATGAAGGACAATCTTCTGAAGCTGTATGACTGTAATCAGAAGTTGATTATGGAGTCAGAACAGGGAAGGAATAGAACATTCAAGGTGAATGTCAGAACTGCAGACTCAGAGTGTCTTAGTGCAACAAGTACTGAGAAGGAGAGTGAGCTGTGGCACAGAAGATTTGGTCATTTGAATTTCAGAAGCTTACAACATCTGAATTCAAAGAAATTGGTACATGGAATTCCTGCAATTAAGAAGCCTGAAAAGTCATGCAAAGTTTGCATGGAAGGAAAACAACCAAGATTGCCATTTGCATCAGAAGTTGCTCCAAGAGCAAAACATGCCTTGGGAGTTGTACACTCTGATGTGTGTGGTCCATTTCCAGTAGCATCAATTGGAGGGAATAAATACTTTGTGTTGTTTGTTGATGAATTCACAAGAATGACATGGGTATCCCTTATTAAGTTCAAACACGAGGTGTTTGATGAATTCAAGAAGTTCAGAATGAAGGCTGAGAATCAGAGTGGTCAGAAGTTGAAGATTCTTAGAACTGATGGTGGAGGTGAGTATAACTCCAAAGAGTTCCAGAAGTTCTGTGAGGAGAATGGAATTGAGCATGAGGTTACTGCTCCTTATACCCCTCAACACAATGGTCTTGCTGAAAGAAGAAACCGAACTTTGCTTGATATGGTGAGAAGCATGCTAAAGGAGAAGAAGCTTCCTCATAAGCTCTGGGGAGAAGCTGTTGCCACTGCAACGTATGTACTCAACAGATGTCCTACGAAGAAGTTGAAGGAAATAGTTCCTATGCAGAAGTGGACTGGAGACAAGCAAAGTGTTAGTCATCTGAAGGTGTTTGGTTCTGTTTGCTATAAACATGTTCCAGAAGCCAGAAGACAGAAGCTGGATGATAGAAGCAAAGTGATGATTCTGATAGGGTACCACAGTACAGGTGCATACAAGCTCTATTGTCCAGAAACCAATAAAATTGAATTCAGCAGAGATGTGATTGTGAAGGAATCAGAAGTTTGGAATTGGGATAAGTCTCAATCTGATTCTGATGTTAGAACCTCTGAAGAAAGGCCAGAGTTAAGAATTCCTGAAGTTGAAGTAAACCCTGATATTGACTCTGACTCTGATACTGATTCAAACTCTGAAGAAGACTCAGAAGATGAAGGTGACTCTGATGACCCAGACTCTGATGACCCAGACTCTGATGATTCAGACTCTGATGGCAATCCAGATCTTGGTGGCAATTCAGACTCTGGAAATATGCCAGACTCTGAAGATGGTCAAAGCTCTGGAGGTCAATCATCTGAAGCTAGAAACTCTGAAGTTCAAGACTCTGAACAAGTTCAGAGACCACAAAGAATCAGAAGCATTCCCAGAAGATTTGCAGAATTTGACATGCTGCAAGACACTGAAGTAGACTCTGAAGGAGAAGTTATTCAGTGTGCCATGTTAGTAGACTCTGAACCTATAAGTACAGAGGAGGCTCTTAAGCAGAAGCTCTGGCTGAAGGCCATGAAAGAAGAACTTGATGCTATAGAGAGAAACAAGACTTGGAAGCTGACAGAACTTCCAAAAGACAAGAAAGCCATCAGCGTCAGATGGGTTTTCAAGCAGAAGTTAAAGCCAGATGGCTCAATTGGCAAACATAAAGCAAGGTTGGTAGCCAGAGGATTTCTACAGAAACCTGGGCTGGATTATTCTGAAGTGTTTGCACCTGTAGCAAGACATGAAACAATCAGAATGGTGATTGCAATAGCTGCTAACAGGAATTGGCCTCTGATGCATTTAGATGTAAAATCTGCATTTCTGAATGGTCCATTAGAAGAAGAAGTTTACGTGTCACAACCTCCTGGATTTGTGAAAAAGAATCAGGAAGGGATGGTGTACAGATTATACAAAGCTCTATATGGACTGAAACAAGCGCCCAGAGCTTGGAATCAGAAGATTGATTCATTTTTCAAGAAGCAAGGCTTTCAGAAATGTGAGATGGAGTACGGTGTCTATGTTCAGCATACTTCTGAAGGCAATATGACTCTGGTATGTTTATATGTTGATGATATACTATTGACTGGAAGTTCTGAATAGGAGATAGCCAAGTTCAAGAAAGTTCTGATGAATGAATTTGAAATGACTGATCTAGGCAAAATGACATACTTTCTAGGGATGGAGTTCAGATATTCTGAGAAAGGTATCATTTTGCATCAGCTCAAGTATGAATTAGAACTTCTGAAGAGATTTGATCTGAAGAATTGTAAGATGGCTGTCACACCTTCTGATACAAATCA